GAGATATCAAAAAAGTACTCCAGGGTGTTGTTCAGCATGGGGGTGAGTAGAAAATGAAGGCTAATCATGTTTTGGGTGTACTATTCCTTTAAGGCCCCTTGGCTGCTTCAGTATTTAATGTTCAGTTTAGGCTGGAAGGCCATGTAGGGGTAAAGTTTGGTCTTAAAACTTCAAAATTTTGTTCACTGCAACAATCATTTAAATCATTTCCACAGTTTCATGTTGGGGATTTTGCATTTAAAGTATTGTGTGTTTTTCTTTTAGCATGTTTAATTTAGATAACAGCAAATTATTGGTGACTTCTAGAAGCATTTTATCTCACTGGCTTGTTTTCACCTGTATGCTACACTTTTCTTTAATTAAAAAGCTTAGAACATCATACCATTTCCCTTCTGTGTTCATCCATCAGATTAAAATCTTTAATTTTAAATTGCTGAAATTTTTAGAGGGCACTTAATTTCCTAACCTATAAAAGGGATTTCTAGCTCTTGTTTGTTATATATGATAGTGTAAAAGTGCAGCAGTTTGATCTTCACTTTGGCATTACGCTCCAAACATTTACATTTTTTTTTAAATATTTTGATGTTTATAAAAATGATCTGACCTGTACATCTGCGGCGCTCAGCCATATTTCAGATCATCCAAAGTATCCGTATGGGGATGTGACCCAGGGGGAGGACAGGGACCCCCACCCCCCTCTTCATGTCAACACTGAGCCTGGCTAGCCGACGCCTGCACATCTCATCGGCCCCCCTCCTCTCCAGAGACCATCAGCCCTTACGGATGGACCCCTGCCCTCCATCAGCGTTTACAGTGTTACAGTCTGTGGTACTGACAGCTTTTCTATGGACAGTCTTAAACCACGCCGGCTGGAGAACCTGTTCCATTAATCGCTTGGCTCGCGTGTGCAGAGGTGTGAATGAGCTGGCAGTGATTCCTGCTGATAATGTGCCATATCCGTCTATGTACGTTTTCATCTTTATTGTATGAAAATCAAGTTTTTTTTCTTTTGTTTTTTTCAAATAAATGTGAAGCAGTTAAGAGTGTTTATTGTTTACAGATACACTATATTGTTCAAACTGGGTTTGACTTCCTTTTAACACAAGATTGAAGCCTGGCAACTTCAATGTTGCCTTTAAAACAACTTCAATGTTGATAGGAACAAACACGGTGGTGGTGGTGTGATTAACAGGGCTAGTTTAGCTGGATGCGCCAGTATGCACTATATATCTGCTCATCAGTAGAAGATCTTAAAGGAGAATCTTCTTAGAATGTTCAGAAAGGTTTTAGGGTGGCTCCTTCGAAAAAAAAAAAAAACAATCTACTGAACTTTGTTTCCAAATTTGAAGACGTTTCGCTTCCCATCAAGGAAGCTTTTTCAGTTCAAAATGTCAGAAATGGCGTAAAGGCTTTATAGAGTGGACCAAAAAGGCCTTGTTCTAGGGTGGCCTATTCAAAGCCCGTACTGCAATATGGGGCTGTGTTATGATTCTAAACGCCGACGGATGAAAACCCTCCTGATCTCAGGTAAAGCCAGTGTGAAAAGGTTTGAACCATTGACCCCCATTTCCTGTCAGAGCACCTTCAAAATAAAGGCGACCAGCGCCAATAAGAAGGGTTAACATTCCTGCTGCTAAAAGTAGAAAACACTTAGATCTAGGAGGTCGTTACTTTTCCTCATAGAGACAGGTTGGGCTGAATATTTTTTCTTGAGAACAGAATCCTGTATTCAGTCATTGAGTCTGATTTGAAACATGTAAATAAACAAATCAGTAAGGAGGCTGATGGTTTGAGGAAGCTCATGACTTAGTGGGATCTCTCCGATGAGAAGACTCAGACACCAGGTACTCTTAAGCAGGTTTATTGAAAGTTGTGAAGTGCAGCTGTCAAGTGCAATTGTAGGTATTTTGTTTTCTCATCCGGTCTTTGAAGGAACATGCACAGAACATGAGCATACAACCGATACACAGAATGAAAAACAAATAACATCTTCAGAGCTTGTTTCTTTTTTTTTCTTTTTTTACCCTAAGTATGCATTTTCAAATCCAAAAGTTTTTCACTGTCAAAAAAAAAAAAAAAAACTCCCAAAAAGGTGCAATACTTAAAGAAAAATAGCAATGAGAAACTGTTTACAGTCAGAGTTAAATGTGTCAGTGAGAGAGTAGGACAACGTTGTTGTCAGTTAAATAACCTAAACCTCCTTTTAGATCCAAAGTCCAGAAATTACAGCATTAAAGATGGATGACGGACTGACCCGCATCAATCAGCGTGACCTAGATAGCATCTGTTCTTCCATCCTCTCCTTTTTTACATTGTACTTACACTATACAGAAATGTACATCGTTTTCTGCCCATTGAACTTTTTGGGAAAAAAAAAAAAAAAAAACCTGCAGCTTCGCCCAAAGCGTCCACCCTGTCGATGGAGAAGATGCGACATGCGGGGACGGCGCCGAGGGAACGGCAGCAATGAGCTTCTTCGAGGGCAAACTAATGAGCCTGAAAGGGAAATACTGAAAATAGATTTATCATCATCTTCATAAGAAAGCACGTTTTGTTCATCTCGCCAACGCACAATTTGAGGAACATCGTCAGCATCGGCGCCCACCCACCCCCACCCCCCCATTCCAGATGGGGGCTATGACATGATAATAATGGCTCACAATCGTATTCTGTCACCGAGAAGAACTTCTCTCTCTCTGTCAGGATCTAGCCTTGGTACAGAACCACTTTTTATTTACATAATTCAGCAAAATGGATAACGCCCCCACCCCCGCAAGTTAAAACCCAGACACAGGCACAGTGATTTCATTTTAAATCTACAGGTAAGCATAAATGGTGTCACTGACTGTTTCTTCATGGTTAAACATTCTTGTTGATGACCCGGGTTATTTGGCAAATGTGTGATAATTCCTCTTCTGAACTTACCCACCCCCACCCCCCGAACACACAGCATAGTAGGATTGTCACTGTCCACTGCGTGGAGAAACCTCAGCTCCGCTCGGCCTGCTGGCTGGCTGCATCCTTCAGAGATAAATATGTGCAAATTCTCATCTTGACAGCATGGCCCTCCTGCAGCGGAAGGCCAAGGGTGGCTCTGCGGCTGCCGCCGGCCTTTAAAACTAGAGGATGCTCAGTCTGTGTCGTCGGGCTACGCAGAGGGGCCGGAGCTGTGCGTGGCGGGCTGGATGAGGCCGGCGGCGCTCGGAGGCCCCGTCGGCGCGTCTGTCTGAGGGGCGGGCGGGGAGCCGGTCTGGACCTTGGCCTGGAACTGGGCCATCTGTTCTGGGCTGGCCAGCTTCTTCAGCAGCGTGTTCTCCTGCTCCAGCTGGGAGTTTTGCTCTATCAGGGTCTTGATCTGCTCCTTCAGGACCTCCACCTCCTCACGCACGGCGTACATCAGGTGGCTCTTCACCAGATCCTACATCAGACACAGACACAGTGTTAGGGTAAGGGTCTATAATCTGGGGCTCCTTGGCCCTATGTTAGGGTCTTTAGGGTAAAGGAAACAGGAAAAGATTGCCGTTTGAGAATCTCCAATCAAACCCTACAACTGAATAAAATCAATGCTCATTTCTATTATTCAGTCCTTTTATTTTATGAAGCTCCTGGTGTTTTAATGCAGATTTTTTTATAAAGATATTTTAATAAAGACTTCTTGGGAAATAAGTTTCTTTATAAATGTAATGTATTTAAGTCCTAACTTCACAGAAATTTAATTAACCCAATTTTCCCTCTACAGTATTTTAACTCTAAACAATTAAGGTTTACATAAACAAAGGGTTAATACATACAAAAGAGGATTAGGGGCCACTGGAACAATAATAATTTTAAAAAGTTAACAGATTTTTCAATTTTATTTCAGTTTAATCTGAGAAAAAAAGTCAGAATTCTGACAGTTAAGAAACATGTTAGCATCAAGCGGTAGCCATGTCAGTTTTAAAGACTAAACTAGCTCTCTTGTTTTAATCACCTTCTGCTCTTCCATTAATTAAATAGCATCTTTGTGTTAAATAGCATCACGTAAAAAGTCGCCTAATTCCGTCATTTTCCACCAGTGTGTTACTGGCCCTCCCAAACCACTCACATCTTTGTCAGTGAAGCTGAGTGCTCCCACATCTCTTCCGTCATGGTGCCCATCTACATTAAACTTAGAGTTTTGGATCTTAAAGTCAGAATTCTGAGATTAAAGTCTAAAGATTTCTGACTGTTTTCTCATATTATACTGAAATAAAATTAAAAAATCTGTTCTCTTTTTTTTTTTTCCCCAGTGGCCCTAATCCTGTTCTGTAAATTCGTAAAGAGTTATACTTGCTAATGTTTTCACAACAACTACCTTTGTTTGGTTCCATTCATAAAATAGGATATAAATGATGCTATTTTGTTTAAAACAGTTTTAAAGTTACAAAAATATACACCCTGCTGTTCAAATCAATCCAGGTAGCAACTTTTGCAGCTTTGATCCCACGCCTGACCAAAGGTGGTCTATGTGCACACAGTATTGTTCCTCACATAGAAAGTCTCCACCAATCAAACCTGTTATGACCGAGTCAACCAGTTCATATTTAACCACAGCATTTTAAAATTTAGAGTTAGTATTCATCAAGAGAAAAAAAAAAGTAAAATCCTCTCTTTTCATTAAGAGGTGTGCAGAGTTGGACTGGTGTGGTAAAACATATATGACTGCCGAGCAAAGCAGAAATGGATTCAGATATTCAGGAAACACTGACAGATCAGTCAACAACCACAATAAAAGCTTTAGGTATAACCCACGCTTCACGGACATTAAACTGCATCAAACTGGAATCAATAAGAGATGATATCCTGTGTTTGATTATTTTTTTCATCTTATTTTATAGGTCAGTGTAAGTCCAATGAAATATATTCATGTGTTATTCACTCATATTTTGGACTCATCTTGTTTTTATTCCAAATCCTTTTCTTTTTGTATTTAATCTAGCTTTGTTTTGTTTTTATCTATTTAATGAGAATAATTGTTAAAACCTGACAGAAATAAGAGCCATAATCTAGTTTAAGACTTCACAAAAAGGTGACAAAAGAAAAGTGGATGGGGAATATTTCCAGGATGCTCTCAGTCTAGCCCCGCCCACCCATAGATGGGGAGCACCAATCAGAAGCCGAGATATTTATAACCAGGCGTGTCTTCCAGTTTGCCTAGCAACAGCCCTGACAACGGAGACAGAGAAACAGAAAAACCTGTTTGGCTTTTCTTTTTAGAAAATTATTTCATTTGGGGATACGGTTAATAAATAAACACTTGGTTTTAGCGTAAACGTAAAATAAAATCATTTAAATCAAATAAACGGGGAAAATAGGATATTTTTATGTCAACGTTTATTTTTATTACACCTTAATGTTTAGTCATTGGTTAGAATAAGTGATTTAAAGAGGTTTCTACCTGTTCAGACTTGACAAAGGGAAAAACTCACCATTGCTTGTTCGATCTTGTTGTCGATGGCCACCACGCTGGCTCCGGACGAGCTGCAGAAAAAAGAAAGAGGAATAAATAAAACATGTCCAGCCGTGCTGTGCTGCAGCGAGGGACAAGCGCTGCCTTTCTCCTCCTTTAGAGGAATGTGGGTCGGAACAGGAAGCATCTGGAAATTTCTCTCGGTTTAACGTCGATAAATAAAAAAAAACCCAGCAGCGTTTGAACGCCTCACCGCCTGCGGCTTTTTTTTTTTTTTTTTTTTTTTTTACCTGCCGTCCAGCTTCAGCTGAGAACCGTCTGCGCTCAGCAGCGACGACAGAAACGACATGGAGAAATTTCTCAGCTGGCAAACGCCTAAATCCATGGCCACGGAGTAGCAGGACGCATCCATGCTGCTCATGGTTTCCAAACAGCCCGCAGTCCGCCGCCGCCACGCCGCTTCGGGGAGACGCATCCGCACCTGGGAGTCCGCAAAGGTTCGGAATAGAGCCGCAGCGGTTCCGGATGCGGTCCAAGGTCAGCTCATCTCAGCGGCACACAAAAGGACTGCGGATCTCCACCATCCTGCATAATTTATGCAGAGCCAGCGGCTGCGCGCTGATTGGTGGAGGAGGAGGAGGCTGTTTTTAATACTCTATGCAGGAACGCCTCCACCTGGTGCTCAGCTGATGCTCTGCATCCTGCAGAGCAGGGGCAGTGCTAGATGGGGGGCCATTCATCGGCCACCCCTATCATTTTTCCCCCCTCTACAGACGGTGGCAGAAGTAATACTCTCAAGTGCATTAATCAACAATTGTAATTTTTCATATCTTAATTACTTGACAACAAAAACACCATGGTTATGATGCACATCAATATACTGACATTAAAGATAAGCACAGAATTCAAGCAGAAATAGATTTTGTGTTTTATAGGGTAAAAAGATAATGAAGTGTGTCTGCAAGTCATCTAGGAGTCTTCATATTTTAATAAAAAAACTTACT